TTTGTCTTAGTTAATTTCCTGGTTGCTGAGACAAAATAACTGACATCCAGAGTTAAAGGAGCAAAGGTTATTGTAGCTCACAGTCTGTAGAGATTTTATTTGACAACTGGCTGGCTCCAAGGCAGGGTGGCATAGAAGAGGGGAAACAGTTTATGGCTGGCAGCAAAGCAGTGTATCAGCAAAGTAGCAAAGAAGCAGCAGCCTGCCTCTCCCCTTTATCCCTTCTAGGCTATCTGCCCTTTGGCTGGGGCGGGATCGGCCTGGGCCTGCCCATTATCCACACCCAGAATGCTGGCAAACCAATCAGTGGATTAATTTAGTAATCACACACCCTTGATCCCAATGTTACACACTTAATCCCAGCATCACACACCCTAGAACCAGCTCTACTTGTAACCACATGAGGCTTTGGGAAGCTATCTAGACACATACTGCTCTTCTATGTAGAGTATTAGCTCATCTGAAAATAACAATAGTTTCAGTTCTTCCTTTCCTATATAATTCCTTTCTCTTGTCTGATTGCTCTGGCTAACATTTTGAGTACTGCGTTGAACAGAAGCAATGATAGTGTGCATATTTGTCTTCTTTCTGATTTTAGAGAATAGCTCACTGTTAACTTGCCTTATAAAACACAAAGACAATGTTTGTATAAAATTCATTTCTTTTTCATCTCTTCTTGGCAAATGCACATACCTTTGTGTTCATAAAAGTATATCCATTTGAGACTGACATTTTTATGGCAATAAAGATATCTAAAGCTACATGGATACAAAATATTAAATAAAGCTAGAAATGAAATAGCAAAAATTTAGAAAACAAAGAAACAAATTAAAACCATCAACCAAATGTTTGAGATCATCGTCATTTTACTGTATACATTAGTTACTTCCTGAAAGTTCAGTTCCATTTTGGTTTATCTTAGACTTTCTACATGGTTTGTAAAACATCGCATTTTGTGGTTAAAACTAATAGCTGCTAAATCATCCATCCAGCCATCTCCCTAAATCATTTTTAAATTTCAAAGTTAATTGAGCTTCAGAACAAAGCTGTGCATGCAATTCTAATTTGTGGGGAAGAATCTGCACCCTGCCCAGTGATGTCTCCCTGCAGACGAAGCATCAGGTAGTTTTGTCAATCAAATCAAAGTCACCATGTTCCCTTTTAATTTACTATAGGTATTTGTAAGTTTACCTATGTCTTTAAGGGAGATGTGATTATGAACTATTTACTGTTGTTATTCACTAGTAATGCACCCATCACCCTATCAGGGCCAATTTAAGAATGATGCCTGCAAATTTCCAGATAAAGAATCCCAAGCAATTTATGTGATAAATTAATAATCATGGAATTAAAAAAAGGGGGAATTGTTCTTTGTGAAATTTCTTCCTCATCTACTTTCAAAGCTCCAGCATTATTTCTACATCTAACTCTTGATTCTGTTCCACAAGAATTTCTTTCATAAGGTTTTTATTGCTAGTGATAGTTGTTTTCTTCAATAACAAACTATCCCTTGTGTCCATGTCTATTCACTAGTCAAATACACTTTTTAATTTTAAATTTTAAATAGGATGTGAAGCCCCCTAGGCTAAAGGATAATTCAATCTCTTTTTCTCTCATAACTTTATGGCATCTTATTTGAATTCTTTGTACCATAGGAACCAGAAATAGTTATTCGTGAATGATTGAATGGATTATAATAGATGGTGGTACTGGTGCAGATTTTTAATTTTTCCTTTACATACTTTCCATTTGATTTTGAAGTTCTCTTTCATGGTAAGGAAGGAAGCCTAATTTAACTTCTCTGAATCAAGTCATGTGACAGGCATTGCCCCATACAGTGTGAGTGAAGGTGTCATCCGCAGAGACTTCAAATGAGTTTACATGTCAGGACTTGTTCTGTTATACCTCTGCAAACTCTATTATAAAAATATTGCCAGGTTGTCCTATAAGGAGGACCAGAGACACTTGGAGCAAGGCTGAGATTTGCCAGTAAAACACCTGAGGCCACACTAGATTATCTAGCAACTGGCAACCCCTATACACACAGGGCAAGACCAGATAAGATCAGTTGAGTAATACAAGGGACCAAACAAGATGGATGAGCATATATATTTATTGTTTTACATCATTTAGTTTCTGCATTTACTATGCAATTCTCATATCATGGCAGATACAGATTCAAACAGTAATAAAAGTATTTTAAGAAAACTTACAGGGTACAGAGAAAAAATTTGATAAAGCTTACTAAATACTTCAAAGTAGAAAAAGATGGGAAATTTGGGATAAGAATCTATTAATTCATTCATTTAAAAACACTCGCAAATCTGCAATGATGGGCAGAAGCTATAACTGACACTATAAAAACAGGAGTTAGGAGACACAGTTCCTACTCTTAAATAATTTACCTTAAGACTAGTGTATGGTGTTACGATTGGTAAACATTTTCACAAGCTTCTGTGGGAGCCAGACAAGAGCACAGAATGAAGAGGCAACATTAACAAGTTTTCCTAGAGGAAGTACTTTTTGAGATCTCAAAAAGACTTTTGGGGTTATCGGGAAAAGTAAACAAGAGTTGAAGAGTCAGAGTCCAGGTGAGCACATTTTGAAATAGAGGGGAAAAAAATGGGGGGGTATTTCTGGAACACCAGAAAAATACAGATGAAGCTGGAAAGTTAGAATACAGAAATGTAGAATCCTATCAGAAGTGATACAGACCTTGGATCTATATTCAGGAAGTGATGAGGATGTATTATAATTATGTTTCAGAAGGAGTACATGAGAAGGTTTATAAGTCCAAAAACAGCTCAGGTGAAAAAAATGTGAGGAGCAATGGGGTGATTAAAGAAGCTCCAGGACTTACACTGACAGAAGAGTGGGCATCAGTCTGAAATATACTATAGAGCTCAAATCAATTCATCATTTGAGTAATAAGTAGTGGAAGTTGGGTTGGAGAGGAATGGAGAGGAGGAAATATAAAAGGAATATTTAGGGGTGGGATGAAGGAGTTAAATTTGAACAATTCATGGAGATTAGTTATCTCCTCTGTTCTGGAGAATACACACACTTTTAAATTGTAAGATGAAGACAAAAGTTTTAAATATAAACAGGAATAGAAACATAGGCAACAGAAATGTTAACTTGTTTATTTAGAGTTGAAACAGATACAGAATGAATAGTGGGTAAAAAAAGAAAATAGCGAGGAAAAATTCAAACATTGCCATTAAAAGGTAGACGGTAAGATTCATATGGGTTCTGATACTGGCTGTATGGAATGTATGGAAAGGTAAGAAAGGCCAACAATAGTTGAAGTAGGGTTTGAAAAAACTTAAATTGAATATGGATGGAATAAATTTAGAATAATAGTTTTCTTACATATGTAGGTAATATTTTGACTACAAGATAAGTTATAAATTGTTCTATTTCACTTAGGAATCAGAAATGGGCTTGACATTTGGAGATAAAGATCTCACTTCTTAAATTATATACAGAATTAAATGTAGAAGTACAAAGTTTGTGTAGTTCCCTTTTTACTGCAGCTCTAGCTCAACCAAGAGAACAAAATGTGTTCCTTGCAGCTAAAATTGTTGGCAGTCTTTCTGAGTGTGGCAGATTGTATTTTCCAAATATGGTCATAGTAATATTTGCAGTTGCTCCTCCAGAGCAGTGCCTGTCCCCATCCAGAGGCAGGTGTGACTCTCAAGTCAGGGTGTGACTTTGTGACTGCTTGGTGAGCAGAATGTGACAGAAGTAACATTTTGGAGATTTCCAAGGCTAATACTGAAAGGAGATAGGGTTTCTGTCTGGTTTATGGGACCTTGCCCTTAGAGCCTAGCCACTGAATTGTGAAAAAGCCAGGGTCACGTGGAAAAGCTCCCTGTAGATGTTCTTACCAACAACCACAGCTACAATCTTATGTGAGAGCCTACATCTTCTAGACATGTAAATGTGCCAGCAGCCTTCAGAGGATTTCAGTCTCAAGTCTTGATTTAGATGAGCTGATACCCAGTGGGATAGCAAAAAGCCACTGCAGGGAGCCCTGATAGCTCAACACGCTTACCACAGTAGTTTATTAACATATTATATTTATCTCCCCTTCCCCTCAAAATAACCACTGCCTTATCCTGATTTTCCTATTTCTGTTATTTCTCTTACTATCAAAGCCATTTTATTCTCTCCCCTCATGTCAAAAACAGGATGTCTCTGTTTTCTTTTCTTCCCATTTCCTTTCCTTTCCTATTAACACCATCTCAGTTTCCCCTTAGAAGATCCATCATACAATTGGAACAGGAATAATGCATTGGAATAACTTATATAGTAACATCCAAGTGAACTGGAAGATGTATACCTTGCAACTTGGCTTTACTCACCTAAAACTGGGTTTAACCTCATGTAAACTTTCACTATATCTCAAATGAAATATGAAATTTTTAATTAAACTTTTTACTTTAAGACAGTGACTTAACTCAGAATTCCATTGACAACTCCTTGAGGCAATGTGGAGCATATACATATTTTTTTAAATTTTAAAATATTTGTCAATATTGAAGTCTGGTAGGGTTGCATAATTTATGCTTCATTTTGGTCATGAAAATAAAATTGTACTTGTGTGTAGTGACTTCAAGTTTAAAAATCCCTCTCACATAGACAGTGTGGCTCAATCTTACACTAAGATGCTTTGGTGGAGTATACATCAGCCTGGTCAGATATTCAAAGACTTAGCATGGAGGAGTGTGTAATACTATTAACACAAAACATAACAAGGGTCTCATAGCGTGATGGTGCATGGCTTATAGCCAGATGCTCCCCCGTCTGCATCCCCATGTGCAAAAAGGAGGGGATGTGGAGGTGATTAAGTCACAGGACTGTGATAGTCATCGGTGGATTAGTCCACAGATGAGCTTATAGCTAAACGTTGGGAAGTGAAGCCTGGCTGGGGGAGGTGCGTCAGTGAGGAATGTGCCCTTGAAGAGTGTAACTCCTTCCTTCTTGCCTGAGTGCTCTCCGCTTCCTGCTTGCCCTGACATTAGGTGTTTTTCATCCGCCATGCCCAGTTGTCACATCATGGTCCCTTGGAGCCAGCCGACTAATGACTGAAACCTCTACAAACTGTGAGTGAAAATAAATCTCTCCTTTAAATTGTTGGTATCTCGTATTTATCCCAGCAACAAAGAAAGTAACTAAAACAGATGGTTAAGCTTGCTTGTGTCAGCTTAGTTGGCTTGGGAGCTGCCAAGAGGATTGACAGAGCATACTTCTGGGTGCGTCTGGTGATTCGTGGAGGTGTGACCTAGAGTACTCTATCCGGTGCTTCACTCCTTCCTCCTTGGCACTGTTCCTCTGCTCTGCTTCCAGGCCACAGTGAGCTAAGCGTCTTTGTTCTGCTGTGCCCTTCTGCCTGCTGCTGTCTTGGAGCCAGCTGACCATGGGCTGAATTTCCTGAAACTACAAGCCTAATTAAACTGCTGCTCCTGCACATCCTATCAGATATTGTGTCCCAGAAATGGGAAGCAGAATAATAATAATAAATAATAATAATAATAATAATAATAA